AAGGCCACTAGGGAGCCCAGTCCCAGAAGCCTGGGGGCTGGGCCAATGTTCTCTTGGCCTCCCTCACTCTCATTCTCCGGCTACCTTCAAGACTTCGGGCCCCCCAATCCCAGCAGAAACAAAGGCCCCTTCCTTTTGCAGAGAGTCTGGGGAAGGGACAAGGAGCTCCTCCTCTCTGAGCAGTTCTGACCAGGGTAGCCTCACTCTTGGACCTACAGCCTTCCTGCCCCATTCGCAAAACAGGAAACCGAGGCACAGGCCCACGCCATAACTGGTCCTGGGTCCCAGACCAAAGTTGTGAGTTTCAAGGCACTTCCTCTGACAGGTCGACAGTATAGTGAAGGAGCTGGCAGCACCAGCCAGAAGGTGCCTTAAGGAGGAAGTGAGAGCAAGGAAACGGGCAGCCGGTGATTAGTCACGAGGACACGCATTCCAGGGCACCTGGTGCTCACCAGGGCGCTGACCCTGCCAAGCAAGCACTCTGGATACCCCACCCCTCAGACTTTGGCTGGGGTTTCCCCACAGTGCAGACGTGGCAGTGCCCAGGCCAGGGACACTCAAGAGAACAGGGACACCTGAAAGGGCAGGGCAGGGGTGGCGTTCATACTTCAGGTGGCTATCCTTCCCCAGAGAGACAGCTACGGAGCCACTGGGTCTGGGCCTGGGCGTGGTTTGGCCCATACCCACCCAGGTGACCCTGAAAAAGACCCTGGGCCTCAGTTTCCCCATCTGTCATCTCTGGATAGATTCAACCAGACAAACCAAAAAAAAAAAAGGCAAGAGGAGAGTGAGCCCCAATCCAGCAGCCCCTCCTTCTGCACCCAGCTCAGTTGCTAGGGAAGCCCCCAAGTCCCTCCAGGCTCATGTTCCCGCCTGGGTCCCTGTGCTCATCTCTCCTTCTGGGTTTGTGTTAGTGAGCAGTTGCCATGGATACCAGTCTCAGCTTCTTTGGCCGAAAAGGACTCCCCTAGGGCTGGGCTCTGCCTCTCCTCACCAGCCCCCACCCCACCCAACTCCAAGTGCCCAGATTGCCACAGGCTAGATCAAGGGGAAATAAAATAGGTCTCATAAAGGGGACAGGTGCCCCAGATAAGTTAGGAAAGGATATCAGTGAGAACTATTTGAGAAAATAGTCATTCACCAACCATAAGCAAGGCCCAGGCCAGCTCCCTCTTGCTGGGGCTGGTTCCAGGAGCACAACGCTGCCACCTACACCCTCAGCTCTGCTTCCATTTTACAGAGGGAAGAATGGGAGCCCAGGGGGCAGAGGCCGCTCTGGCACCAGAAAGCAGAGCTAGGAAGCAGAGGCCAAGACCCTTGCCTGAGGGGCTCCCTCCTTCTCTTGACCTGGCAGCCAGAAGTGGGCTCAGAATGCAGAATGGGTAGCTGCTAGGCTGGTAAGGGCCCTGGGAGCAGGAGCCAGGTGCCCTAGGGGAGCTCAAACTGCCTGGGCTAAATTAAACTGAAATTCATCTGCCCAAAGGCCTTGTGCCCTGTGTTCCAGGCCAGAAGCAGGGGCATGCCCCCCACCTCTGCCCAAGACTCCTGGAGCTGGAGAGAATGTTGCACTGGGGGTTCTAGCCCTGCTCCGCCCCACTGTGTGAGCTTGGGTAAGTGCCTTTGTTCTCTAGGCGACAGTGTCCCCATCTGCACAAGGAAGTGGAAGGAAGGGTTTAGAAGAGGTTTCTAGGCTACCTCAATTTCATCCAATTGAAGCAACGCTCAGTAAGAAAAGCAAGAACAGGAGCCTGGCCCTCCTCACCTGGTTCTGAGGCCTGCTGCCCTCAGGGGGTTCTCATGGGGAGGAGGGGAGGCCATAATTAGCTGGATCAACGGGTCGCGCTGGGAATGCTAGGGCAGAGGTAGAAGCTACTGGAGTTTCCAGGATGGAGACCAGCTCTGATGGAGAAGGGAGTGGCTCCCAAAGATGTTCTGAAAGGGACTGTCATAAACAGAAAAACACAGAAAGGGCATCGTGGACGGG